GCATGGGCCAAGCACTGTGTTAGGCCCTGGGGAATCCGGTGATGAGCAGAGCAGTCACTGTCCCCGAGGAATCCCAGTCTGATGGAGGAGACACCCCAGTAAAAGAGCTATCCTCCCCTGGAAGAAGCACTAGGACAACTGTACTTCCCAGCTGTGGGATCCAGGGCAAGTCACCTAACTTCTCTGTGCATTGTTTTCATTATCTGTGAATGAGGATAATAGGAGTGCCCCTCCTTGGCAAGTTATGAGGATTAAATAAAGTAATGTATTTAAAGTGCTTGGAACAATATAAGTCACATAGAAAGTGCAATGGGAGAGTTTGTTCTTGTGAGTGGTGATAGTATTGTTATTCTTGGAATGGTTACTGATGGAGACAAAACTTCCCTCACCCCGTGCTTTCCCAAACCAGAAGGCCTTCCCCAAGGAGGTCAGGCAAATGGAGTATTGAAGAAGAGGAGTCGGTCAAATGGCTGAGGGGCCCAGGGAATGGGGGAAGGGGAAAGGAGAGAAGACTAAGGGGAGAAGATGGAGCAGAAAGAGGAGCCTACGGAGGCACAGAGGTGCGGACAGCACGGAGAGTGGGAGAGCAGAAAGCGGTTTCATTCAAACTCACAGAGGTGATTTAGAAGATAAGGCATCAAGTTAAGGTTAGACCATAAGGGACAAATCACAAAGGGTCTGGTGCATCATGCTAAGGAACTGGAGTTTTACAAAACCAATTCACAGAAAAATCTGTTCTAGAAATGTGTGAAATGCTTACTCAGCTGTATCAGCAAAAGTGCCCTCCGTGACTGATTACTGATAATAAGAATGGAAAATGCATGGAAGGGCCCACAGGTACCTGGCTCTGCCTGTAGATCCTTGGGTTTGTGTTGACTGTGATGATTTCCTGTAGCTTCTTTTCTCTAACCCTGGAGTGGCTCCCCTCTACCCACACGGCATGGTGGTAATAGCCTACCACCCTAATGGCATTCGAGGCTCTGACAAACTCTTCTGCCGTCCTTCCCAGCACCCTTTTGTCAGAGGCCTGACATTTTGTTCTGGAGTCCACACTTCTCTGCCATCCAGGAACTCAGCAGAGAAAATCCTGATTAGTTGAAATCACTCATGTACTTCTACCCCCTTTCCCAGTGATGGGCTGAGGGATAGGTGTGCACTTGCCACAGTTCTGGCCAGAGACAAGAGGGAACCCAGGTAGCTTCTGGGAAAGTTCTCTCTCTGAAAAAGCAATGCAGAAGCAGGCATACCTCTTCTTCTTCTTCTGTATGTGGTGTTGGCTGAGTGACATCTGGAATTGTATGTCCTCTAGAACATCCAATGTCTTGCATAGTATAGTTCAATAAGTTTATGTTCCATTGAAACATGAAGATTTTTTTTTTTAAGATTTTATTTATTTATTTGACAGAGAGAGACACAGCGAGAGAGGGAACACAAGTACGGGGAGTGGGAGAGCGAGAAGCAGGCTTCCTGCTGAGCAGGGAGCCCGATGCGGGACTCGATCCCAGGACCCTGGGATCATGACCTGAGCCGAAGGCAGACGCTTAACCGACTGAGCCACCCAGGTGCCCCGAAACATGAAGATTTAGAACGACTTCCTGTGAGACAATTAGGGTGGTTGTTATCCCTTTGGTAGATTGGGAAGCTGAGAGAGATGAATGAGCAAATATTAGGTCCAGAGAATAAGCAGAAATAAACCTAGGTCTCAGGATTGCTAGTGTTTCTACAATACCGGGATGCTTCTCTTTCATCTATGGGCCAAAAAATTTCACAAAGATTGGGATTTGTGCCCAGACAACAAAGCAAGGTATCAAAGTAAAGTAAATTGCTGGATTAAAATAACTTTTGCATTTTTGTTCACATTGGATAAGCCATTGGAGGCTAAACTAAGACATACGAAAAGAGGGGTTCTAGTGCTTTTTCAAGTCAAAGATATACCCAGATGTCTCCATCAGATAGCTGCCCCAACCAGGAACAACAACCAATAACAGAGCTTGCCAATGAGTGTGCCCCGAAAGCACTGGGGCCCTTGGGGAGGCAGGCACTGTCTCATGGTTTGAGGAGCCTCTTCACTTGACCTTGGTGGCACAATCAGTTTGAGCTTCTATCACCAAGTACTATAGGCTGGATGGCTTATAAGCAACCAACATGTATTTCTCAATCTTGCGAAGGCAAGACATCCAAGATCAGGGTACCCGATGGTCAGGTTCTAGTTAGGGCCCTCTTCCAGGCTGCCATAGTCTCGTGTGTCCTCATACAGCGGAAAGGGGGCCAGAGAGCTCCGTGGGGTTCCTTTTACAAAGGCACGAATCCCCAAAGGCCCCCACCTAATACTACTACATTGGGGGTTAAGATTTCCATATCTGAATCGGCTGGGGGACACAAAGAGTCAGTCCATGTACCCGGTGCGCCATACAAATGTTACTATTCACGGGTGCCAGGACATGAAATACATTTGGGAAGCACATGCCAGTCTTCCCATGTCTTTCCCCGAATCTCCGTATCTCCCACTGCTGTCTTTCATAAACCCTCCATTTCAGCAAACTGATCTGCTCACTGTCCCCCAAATACTTTGAGGCTTGGAAACCTTCCCCTCTGATTCCTCCTCCTACCTTAAATCCTAGGCCTTCCTCTGCATATTAAATTTTTTTTTAAATTCCACCCAAAGTGATCTCCTCCCTCAAACTGTTGTATTTTTGTAAAAAACATTATATAATGGAATCTGACCTATATGTACTATCATATTGTACATCTTAGCTTTGCTTCTGCACATCTCATCTCTCCAACTAGACCATAAATAATCTCTCTGAAGGCTATCACAATGAGCTTTCCTCATAGCAAATGATTCATTTTTAATCTGTTTATTGACCACTGACAGATCTTACTGGGTTATTTTCTCATCTGTCCTACCTTGTCATTCCTGCAATGGTTGAAAGTGATATAGAAGGTCATGTATGTCTACTGATAATAAAACATGGTGCTAGATGCATGGAGATCCACAGAAGGGAGGGTGGAGAAGAAAAGAGAAACATATCAATAAAGCAGGTAAATGATGAAGCCTAGAGGTCTTCTAACTGAGGATGAAAGAGGCCCTAACTAGTAAAGGCTTCTTCTGCATGGAAGAAGTATCCACAGAAAGGAAGGAGACATTGACCATTACTTCTGCCTTGGAACGCTTATGACATATAGTCAAATTTTAGTGGCTATATTAGGATTTGGGGAAGGGCAGGGTAGTTTTAATCTCAAACCACCAATAAAGCCTGAACTGTTTGCAAGTTTAGTCATAGAACAGACAATATTTGCATAATTGGACTTAGCTGAGTAGTTCCTTCAGCAGCAAGGAGACCCAAGAGCCAGCGTCTAGCACTTCAGAATAACTAATGCGTATGTATGGGCAGTGCAGGGTGGGGGGGTGATCAGGTTGGGATGTGGCCCCCTGAGTGTGTCTGAGCCAGGGCTAGGAAGGGATCTGTTGAATGGTTTGGGAACAGAGCTGGCCAAGCTCATGGCCCCTCTATGGTCAGCTCATCTGCCCCCATTAGCCTCCCTTCAACACGCTGGGGTAAGCACAGCTTGGCCAACTCCTCCAGATGGTTCCTTGGCCCCTCATTCAGAATCAACCAGGAGGGCCAGCTCTGAGGCTTCTAAATCTGCCAGCCTCCTAAGGGAGTATTCCTAAATAGGAATATACTTTGGGAAGCTGATGAGGCCCCTCTAAATATTTGGGAGGCAGTCTTCGAATCAAATGGTTCGCCTGCTGCTGCCAAGGATTATAGGTCCCATTTGACTGTCAAAACTATTTGCAGAAAGTTAAGACCCAAGGGCTCTATGGGAAAGGAGATTGATCAGATCAACAAAAATTTATCTTGTCAGAGTAATTTAGAGAACCTATCAAATATATACCTCTAAGAAAGCTGTCAGCACCATGCTAACCTGTTCTTCCTTGGGCTCAGCTGGGGTCCAGGAGAGCCCAGATTGGGGGTGAACTCTAGTACAGGAAACCCTGGGCCGGAGGGGAGGGGACACTGGTTGAGGATCTGAGTGGGTTTGGGGGTTCCAGAAGGAATTGAGGTCACCTGGAAAATACAGAACTACTCTAAAAATTATTTAGGATGGCTTTTCTATAGATTCTCTACTCCCATGGGACTCCAGCCATCTCTCAGTGACAGTCTATCTGATGGTAAGACAGTGCTCAGCTCCCCAATTCTCCCATGACACCAAGGAACCTTCTATTTTTTCTGCAGCCAATCATTGCCCACAGTAAGTCTCCCCCTACAATACACATGGACATACCAGTGATATTTTGGACCCTCAATGCTCTGAAAATATAGAGAAATGTCTCAGCAAGGTAAAGAAGCAAGCTCCCAGACCTTGTCTTTGAAAATATTCAGCGTGGTAACTCAGGTCCCTGGATCACTAGGTTTCTCTCCCCCATCCCTCAGTTACAGCGTATGAACAAGGGTTCATCTGAATTACCGTGGAAAAAAAAATTAATTCACTGAGCTTTGCAGGACTAATGGGTTTAATTTGGCTCTTAAAAATCTTCCTACCAGGCTGTTTGTCTAATATTGTGGCTGTTAGGCCTTTTCTTCTCAGAACTATCTAGAAAGAACTATCTATTTCTGTCTCGCGTGTTTATGTCTCATGAGTGTGTATTTTAATTTGTTTCAGCCTCTCCCCTTCTAAAAAATTCATTCAAAGAGGAGAATATATGTATGGTAAACATTGTTCACTCTCGTGCTTCACTCTGGGCTATAACAGGAAATGCATTTCTGACACTTTTAAAATGAGCAATCACACGTATAATCAACTTGGTTAAAACTTCCTTCCTGGTAACTGCAACACTTCCTCTGCATCTGGATATGCAGGGAGACCCAGAAAAGCGGAAGAGTTTAGAGGCACACTGGGTAGATTCGAATTTGTTTTGTTTTCGAAAATTAAACAAATGATCCTTCAGCATCATCACCTCCGCTGCTTTATCAGGTATTACTTCCTTCTATTTTTTGCCCTTTTGTTGGGTCTGACTCGGACTAGTGACACTTCCGTCTCGGCTAGAATATTTTTATCTGGAACGGCTGTCGGTTCTTGAGATGATACCACCACTGAATGTCTCCTTGTCATTGTCTAGTCCAACCTAGACGTGTGGATATCCGCAAGGCTCTGGCAAAACCTTTTGCAGGTGCATCTGTCCTTTTTTGTTGTTTTGTTTTTGTTTGGGAGGAAGGGGGAGGGCAAGGGGCTTGTGCCAACCGGGCTTCACGCTCTTACAAGTGCATGCTTAGTGCCTACCGTGCCTAAAGTGTTTCTGACGCCTTCTCTTAAGAGAAGAGAGCTTCGTAGCCTCAGCCATGAAGGAGAGCAGTGAGTATTTAGCCAGACCGTTTTCTTCTGTGTTTTGTATCTTGTGAGATTGTTTGGTATCACAGAGGCAGAAGTGATTGCTGTGTATTTGTCTTTTGCCTCAACTTGGACCTATTTTATTTCAACTTGGTGTCAATATAAATGTATCTTATGGTTCTCTTCTTTGGCAGTTAATCTATAATGTAGCCACAGAGCAAACAGTGAATTAAAAGCTGCAAGAGGTAGTCCTTTGGGACAGTTGATTTCATGTCTCTACTAAATATAACTCCATCATATTTGAAGAGAGGGAATGTTGACTTTAAAAGTAAATTGAGGTCAAGATTTGAATAGAAGTTTGGATCTAATGAAACTTGTCTTGCTTATGTTTTAATCAAACTCTCCTTTTTGGTATATATCAAATGGTCTGCTATTTCTTAAGGAAATAAGCAGTTATGAGTCTCACTAACATTAGTCATTTAAGAGAGTAAATGATATTTTCTGAAACATTAATTTTTGTTTTGATATTTGATTCTTATTTAGCATATAACTTACAATGCCATGATACTAAGTATGAAAATCAAAACCCTCCTTTGTATTTCAATTTTAATATTTTCAGTATTTATTTGAAGTGTTTCCTATTGCATTCTGTCACATTTATACTGAAATGTTTTGTGAAGGGTAGGTACTTATTAAAGATTTAGGAAAAGAGGGGCGCCTGGGTGGCTCAGTCGTTAAGCGTCTGCCTTCGGCTCAGGTCATGATCCCAGGGTCCTGGGATCGAGCCCCGCATTGGGCTCCCTGCTCCGCGGGAAGCCTGCTTCTCTCTCTCTCCCACTCCCCCTGCTTGTGTTCCCTCTCTCGCTGTGTCTCTCTCTGTCAAATAAATAAATAAAATCTTTAAAGATTTAGGAAAAGAGTGAACTGATGAGAATAAATTTGTGAATTCTCATTATAGAGATGAAAATATGAGGGCAAAAAAGAAGTTAAATTATCTCTTGGGGTCCAAATAGCAGGTCACTGGAGTCCAGAAATCCTTCCTTCCATCCTGTGGCTTCTCCACTATGGAAGGCAGAGCAGATGGAATGAATTGGTGCAAAATTAAACATCTGAACATTCCTACCAGAAGAGCACAGCCTTGGGGGACTCTCCTAAGATACTGCTTTAGTGGAGCAAACACATTTCACAATTCAAAAACTTAAATACCTGCAAATGTTCTTGCTTTGCAACTTCACCCATTCTGATGGTTTTGAATATTATCAATGAAATTACTACCTTTCCTAACTAGAAAGGAAAAAAATGAAAAGAAAAAGACAGACAGGAAGTTGGCTAGGGAGTAGATACCTGATCCAGACAGCTTGAAAATCAAGAATGTGCAGCGTGGTTGGGTGAGGTGTCTGGATCCCAAGGAGAAGTGTCAGACTGAACAAAGGTGAAACAAGTCAAAGACCTGTTTTCAAAGTGGGGGGTTTCAGCATCTCACAGTGCGCCTTGTAAATTAGAATTCAGCCCTTTAAGTGGATGATTTTACTCCTCTATCCATTTCAGTATGCTTAAGAACAACAGTTACCACCTGGAGCCATTGTAACATGTCAGGGACCGTGCGAGATGAGTGCTTTACATCTCTCTCTTTTTAATTAAATTTTCAGACGTAATGAAAGTACACAATAAATGAACTCCCATATACCTATCGCCCATACTGAACAAGGATATTACCTTATCTAATCCTCACCTCCACCCTCTGAGGTATTCCTAACCCCAACTGACAGGTGGGAAACAGACGCAGAGATCATTTAACTAGCTCAAGGCAGCCAGGTGCTAAGTGGCGGGATCAGGATTCATGGGCCCCGATTCCAAAACCCCCCGTATCTTCGTGCGCACATCATTGCCATTCCTCGCCCTTCTCCTTCTGCCACCTCGTGGAAAAATGTAAACAGAAAGTGCCTTCCCTGTGTCTGCGCTCCCAGGTCACGTCGGGCATGGAGCTGGAGCATTATGAACAGCCCGTGGTTCTGAGAGAGGACAACGGCCGCCGGCGCCGGAGGATGAAGCCGCGCAGCTCCGCGGCCAGCCTGTCCTCCATGGAGCTCATCCCCATCGAGTTCGTGCTGCCCACCAGCCAGCGCAACAGCAAGACCCCCGAGACGGCGCTGCTGCACGTGGCCGGCCACGGCAACGTGGAGCAGATGAAGGCCCAGGTGTGGCTGCGCGCGCTGGAGACGAGCGCGGCGGCGGACTTCTACCACCGGCTCGGCCCGGACCACTTCCTCCTGCTCTACCAGAAGAAGGGCCAGTGGTACGAGATCTACGACAAGCACCAGGTGGTGCAGACCCTGGACTGCCTGCGCTACTGGCAGGTGCTGCACCGCAGCCCGGGCCAGATCCACGTGGTGCAGCGGCACGCGCCCTCCGAGGAGACGCTGGCCTTCCAGCGGCAGCTCACCGCCCTGATCGGCTACGACGTCACCGACGTCAGCAACGTGCACGACAACGAGCTCGAGTTCACGCGCCGCCGCCTGGTCACGCCGCGCATGGTCGAGGTGGCCGGCCGCGACCCCAAGCTCTACGCCATGCACCCGTGGGTGACCTCCAAGCCCCTCCCCGAGTACCTGCTGAAGAAGATCACCAACAACTGCATCTTCATCATCATTCACCGCAGCACCACCAGCCAGACCATCAAGGTCTCGGCCGACGACACCCCAGGCACCATCCTCCAGAGCTTCTTCGCCAAGATGGCCAAGAAGAAGTCTCTGATGGATATCCCCGAGAGCCAAAGCGAACAGGATTTTGTGCTGCGCGTCTGCGGCCGGGACGAGTACCTGGTAGGTGAAACGCCCATCAAAAACTTCCAGTGGGTGAGGCATTGCCTCAAGAACGGAGAGGAGATTCACCTGGTGCTGGACTCGCCTCCAGACCCAGCCCTGGACGAGGTGAGGAAAGAAGAATGGCCACTGGTGGACGACTGCACGGGAGTCACTGGCTACCACGAGCAGCTGACCATCCACGGGAAGGACCACGAGAGCGTGTTCACCGTGTCCCTGTGGGACTGCGACCGGAAGTTCAGGGTCAAAATCAGAGGCATTGATATCCCCGTCCTGCCCCGGAACGCCGACCTCACGGTTTTTGTGGAGGCAAACATCCAGCACGGGCAGCAGGTCCTTTGCCAGAGGAGAACCAGCCCCAAACCCTTCACGGAGGAGGTGCTCTGGAATGTGTGGCTTGAGTTCAGTATCAAAATCAAAGACTTACCCAGAGGGGCTCTACTGAACCTCCAGATCTACTGCAGCAAAGCTCCAGCGCTGTCTGGCAAGGCCTCTGCAGAGACTCCCGGTTCCGAGTCCAAAGGCAAAGCTCAGCTTCTCTATTACGTGAACCTGCTGCTGATAGACCACCGGTTCCTGCTGCGCCACGGGGAGTACGTGCTCCACATGTGGCAGATCTCCGGAAAGGGGGAGGACCAAGGGAGCTTCAGTGCGGACAAGCTCACGTCGGCAACCAACCCAGACAAGGAGAACTCCATGTCCATCTCCATTCTTCTGGACAACTACTGTCACCCAATCGCCTTGCCTAAGCATCGGCCCACCCCTGACCCCGAAGGGGACCGGGTGCGAGCGGAAATGCCCAACCAGCTTCGGAAGCAACTGGAAGCGATCATAGCCACTGATCCACTTAACCCTCTCACCGCAGAGGACAAAGAATTGCTCTGGCATTTTAGATATGAAAGTCTTAAGCATCCAAAGGCCTATCCTAAGCTGTTTAGCTCCGTAAAATGGGGACAGCAAGAAATCGTAGCCAAAACATACCAACTGTTAGCCAGACGGGAGGTCTGGGACCAAAGTGCTTTGGATGTTGGGTTAACGATGCAACTCCTGGACTGCAACTTTTCCGACGAAAACGTAAGAGCCATCGCAGTTCAGAAACTGGAGAGCTTGGAGGATGACGATGTCCTGCATTACCTGCTGCAGCTGGTCCAGGTAGGGATGCTGCTATGCTCCACAGAGCACTCTCCTCAAAGGGTTTATTTGGGTGTATGCGGGCACCCCATCCAGTTGTCATCAAATGCCCTTTGTCCCTGGCGTCACAATCAGTCACAGTAGATCTGATGAAGCCATGTCAAAAAATAGTGAACTGTCCCATTTACTTTTTTACTCTCTTGGAGGGGTTGCCAATAAGCATTTTGAAGACCTAAGTAATTTTGCTTTTTAGGAAAACTGGCCCTACAGGAGTACTTTGTTCTCATTTACTGTATGAGTGACGGATCCGATTTATTGACTGGCTCCCTTGTGCCCAGACTCTGAGGCTCCAAGTGATTTGCATGCTTTTCTTGTATTCTCACATTGAACTCTCCCAACAACTAGGATGGAGGTCAAATTAACATTTGCATTTTATGTGTAAGGACACAGGGGCACGGAGAGTCTAAGTAGTATGCTTCAGGTCACATATTGGGAAAGAATCAGACCAGAAATCCAAACCAGGAGGTCTGACTCCAAGCCTTACTCTTTTCACTGCCTCCAATATCCTGCATCAACCCCGTGTCAGGATAGTGTGTCCTAGAGAAAAAAGGTCAGCCTCTCTGATCACGCTCATCACCATCCATCGAATAACATCTCCTCTCTGGGTGGCACCTCGAAAGCCCCTCTCATCAGACAGGTCTGGTCCAGGATTTCCACTCGGGGTTCTCACATCTTTCCCTGTAGTCCAGAGGGGCTCAGCGATTTGACTGCGCTTTACCTAGGAAGTTGGAAAAAAGGAGGCATGGTTCGACACACCACGGCAGTTCCCAGGTGGTATTGTGCTGCTTAAGAAGGAAGAGGAAGTAAAGGAATTGGAAGAGAAATGTTTATTTTAGAGGGCAGCCATGTCCCTTTATTAATTCAACAACACGTACTGAGTGTTTCCCCCGTTCTGGATGCTAGATACAGAGTGGTGATCACAAGCGAGCCAGTCTCTGCCCGCCTGCCCCCTTATAGCTTGCGGTGCAGTGGAGGAGATTGACAGCAAATGCATACACATACAAACAGATCTTTAATACCAAATTGTGCACATGCTTTGGGGGAAAACTGCAGTATTGTGAGAAAATAGGCAGGAGTCCTGGGGATACTTAATTTAGCTGGAGGAAACCAGGGACAGTTTTGAGTAAGTGACGTTTGACCCGAGAGCCCGGGCTAAGTGTTAGAGACTAAACGGCCAAATCATTGCTATCGTTAGAGGAAGGCCCCGGAGTTTTCTGAGGAGCATTTTGGATATTCTCAACTTCAACTCTGAATCTTCACCTTCTCATTAGGCAGATACTTGAAACATGACACTCGACCTTTGCTTTCATCTATTAAATGTACCTAATATTTTTCTCTGCCGCTTAATTCAGATACTGACATAACACAAATGATAATTAATGAAATTTAATTCACTGATGAATTATTTTTCATTGTCATTTTCACAAGTCAATTTTGCAGAATTGGAAAATGAATAGCATTCTTCTTGGAACTGTTTTAAATGAAAGAGGTCAATAAGTAACACTAACATTGAATTTGTGGTCGTAAATTTGAGAAAGAGTCGTCATTTGTAAAACTATTTGAGACATTTTCAGATATGGCGGAATGACTCATTCCTGATGAAAATGGTCTCCTGGTTGAGATCTGCATTGTGTTTACAGAAGTGAAACACGAATAAGGTTGAAAAGACTCACGTTCGGGGTAGAAACTTACAACTGATTCTGAAGTCAGTACCGTGGCTACATAACCACATTTTCAGAATTCAGACCTTCACGGCAGCTACAGATACCTACTGGCCCACACCCATGAGAAGCATCTTTGACGGCATGGGGATAAGAGAGAGATTATCACTCAGTCTTGATCATTTCCAAACTGGAAAACCAGAGTAGAACTGGAAATTGTACCAAGAATCCCACAAGCCTGCAAACATAAAGTGGAGTGGGAATTTCTTTGGTTCCTTGGGGAAAAAAAGATAGGCCACTTCTATTTGTAAAGGAATACTCTCTAAGAGTATTTCTAATTTCATGTTAAGCCTCTCGTTATGCATACACATGATACCCACCCTCTAACTTTTTGTACGCATCTTATTTGCTAGTCTTGCGGCTGTTAAAATGATGAGCTATTGCAGACTTACTGTAAATACAGAGAATGATATAACAAATATTCATACACCCACCATTCTTAATTATTTTTTCCACTTTATTGGTGCTTTTCCTTCAGTCATAGAGCTGTCTGCCACCCGAGTCAATATCTCTGTGATAGCCAAGGCATGTGAAAACTACGAAACCTGAAGGAGCATCTAAAATCAGAGACTTTTCAGACAAAAAGCTCTGTCTACACTGCAACATGGCAGGGGGTAGTGATCACTCTGTGTGGACAGTCCAGGCCTGCTATTTACTTGCAGGAAGGGCCCGTGAGGCAGCTTGATGACTTGACAGTGAGATGCCAAACAAACAGCTTGAGCAAAAGGGGAGCAATAGGATATTTAGGATCTTCACATCTAACAAATACTTTTCTCCTTATATGTACTGTTGTCTCCGCTGTCCATTTTCTTTCCAACAACCTCTTTTCCATTCCACTTTTGTGGATTTGTTATAGCCATCCCCGTGTGTCCTGTCTGTCCTTCCAGTAAATCAAGTAAGCCCTTAATGGGAGCTAAAGCCTTACCGCTTCACCTTTGAAATTATCAAAAGCACATAACGGTGAGTCAAGGGTTCTGGCTTCTAATCCCAGGCCCTAAGCAAGTGATTCACTCTGGCCCCAAGTGTCCTCGAAAAGAAGGGGTTGACTTGAGTGACTGGTAAGATTCTCATCACCCTCGCCCTGAAAGACCCAGGAAGGCAGACCATTTCCCCTCCATTCCCTTTTAACACAGAATGCAATTCTACAAGTGCCCATGTGTTCTTCCCTCAGGCTGTGAAATTTGAACCATATCATGACAGCGCCCTGGCCCGATTTCTGCTGAAGCGAGGCTTAAGAGTAAGTCCTTCCACCTTGATCATAGTGGGGCATTTCAAAAGTTAGCGAGAATTGACTGCCAGAGCATGAGTCGCAATAATTTCATCCTTCTCGTTCCCACCCTCAGAACAAAAGAATTGGTCATTTCTTGTTTTGGTTCTTGAGAAGCGAGATAGCCCAGTCCAGGCACCATCAGCAGAGGTTTGCCGTGATCCTGGAAGCCTATCTGAGGGGCTGCGGCACGGCCATGCTACACGACTTCACCCAACAAGTTCAAGTGATCGAGATGCTGCAGAAGGTCACCATTGATATTAAATCGCTCTCTGCTGAAAAGTATGATGTCAGTTCCCAAGGTACAGTGGCTGTGTTCTCGGGGTTCCCTTTCCAAAGGCCTTCATTTCCAAATGCCATCATCCCTGTGATTCTTCTCCTTCAGGAAGGCAAGTCGCACCTTCCGAAAGGGAGCCCCAAGGACACATTTTTTAATCCTCTGTCTCTGTGGAGTAAGCAAATTTAAAGCTCTCCTTTTACACATTCATATTTTTTTGAACTATACACATATACGTGCTAATGATGAATTTATAATAGTCATTAAACTCTTTGAAAAATTAAAAAAGCATTATGCCGATGTAAGATGTATTAAGAACAATTGCATGCATGTACACAAAGATTAGATCTTTGCAAATATTTACCTGTTTCCTCCCTTTCAATATATGTGTGTAATTTTCAAATTTTCAGTCTTTTAAAGAAATGAATTATTGAGAAGCTAATTAAAAATTGGTGTGTAGGTATATTTATATATATATATTTATATATGTCAGTGTACTTGTATACATACGTAGATACCTCCTCTCTGAAGTCATTTCCAATATGATCTTCTTATCCCTAAGAAATCCTGCTCCCGCCCCTGCCCCTAGGAAAATTAATCACTCTTTCTCTGTATTCCCATAGGTTTGGGTTGATACTGTATTAAATTGTAGTTATTAACATGTCTTTCTGGTCTGGTAAACTGCATGAGCCTTGAAACTAGGGGATATTTCTTATTCATTTTTGTGTACCTAGACCCAGCACTATGGCCCCTAATGGACACACTCTAACATACTCAGCCAGTATTTTAAACGTTTAAATATTCTGAATTTCCACCTTTTCCCTTTCTTTTCCAATACACCCATAGTGCGCTCTCCTAAAAAATAATAATGGTAATAATCATTTACTTTTATTTGCTTTGTATAAAAGAAAGGGAAACACTTGCCCTGGCCTCCAGTATGGTATCCAGGAAGTCATTTTTAACCTACATATTTTGCCTTAGAATTTAGAATTCTGAAGAACTCTTGAATTTTGAGGCTATCATGTTGTCTTCACATAACCTAACTTCCTCTCTTGAAAAGAATTTACAGAACCCTAACCGAATGGCATTTAATACGGTCTTCAAATGTCTGTTCCCCAAACCACATTGGCAGTTGAGATTTTCACACTGGAATGATAACTACAGTGTTCATTCCTTAGCCTTACCCTCAAAATTCCCTCCCCTACCTGACTGGCTTGGGATTCCACGGACACAACGCACCCCCACGCTTCTATCCTCTGCTGTCTCATGTGTCATGGCTGTATTGCTTACAGTAAGCCTGACTTATCATGCCACCTCTTACGTTAGTTCCTCAAAGACAGAACCCTCCCCCTGCTCCACACCAAATGGATGGAATGTTATGAAGAAATGTGACCTCAGGAAATGTTCTAGATAATGTCGGTGACTTCTCGAATTCACGTAACTTTTGTGTGCTTTCGACAATTACAGTTATTTCACAACTTAAGCAAAAGCTCGAAAACCTGCAGAATTCGAATCTCCCAAAAAGCTTTAGAGTGCCGTATGACCCTGGACTGAAGGCAGGAGCATTGGTGGTAGGTATCACGCTGAGGTCTCCAGGTGGTCTTTGTGTCTTGGAGCTGTCTGTGCGTGCTTTACAGGGCCCCGTGGGTCAAAGCTAACGTGTATAGAGAGACAGAGAAGCTGGAAAGTCCCCAAGAGGGCTCCTATCCAGGATTTCTCTTAAGCGCTAGCTGCTCAAAGCCTCCACACCAGGCAATCTCCCAACCACTTGGTTTTAAATCAGCTCTCTTAATGAATCATTCACGTACAATAAAATTTGTTCATTCTAAGTATACAGTGCAATGAGTTTTGACAAATCATATAACCACCACCACAACCAGGATAGAGAACATTTCCAAGGAGATGTCATAGGAAAGGCACATTTCTTTCATGTGCTTTGCAATTAGTCCTTCCCTCCTTCCATCCCCCGTCCTGGACAACAGATCTCCCTCTGTCACGTCATTGTGCTTCTCCTAGAATTTCATGAAATGGAGTCATACGGTATGTGGTTTTTGTATCTGGATTCTTTTCCTTAGCATAGTGCTTTTGAGATCCATCCACGTCGCTGTGTGTGTCAGCAGGCTGTTCCTTTTTTTTTAATGACTGAGTGGTATTCCCCTATGTGGATATACTACTATTTGTCTTCCATTCACCTTTTGAGTAAATAATTAACAGCGAGCTAGTGGAGTCATGGTACATGTATGTATAATTTTATAAGACACTGCCAAACTGTTTTTCCAAAGTGACTGTACCATTTTATATTCCCACCAGCAGTGTATGTGAGTTCCAACTGTCCCACATCCTCATCAACACTATTACCAATCTTTAATTTTAGCCATTCCAGTGGTGAAGTGGTTTCTCACTGTTGCTTTTACTTGCGTATCTCTAATGATGTTGAGTATCTTCTCATGTGCTTTTTTTTTTTTTGAGAAGTTTCTGTTCTCATCTTTCATTCATATTTAATGTGGGCTGCCTTCTTATTTTTGAGTTATTTTTATATTCTGGATACAAATCCTTTATGCTTTCTCAGGTATACATTTTACAAATACCAGTCCATGGCTTGCCTTTTCATTTTCTTAGTAGTGTATTTCAAAGAGCAGAGGGCTTAATTTTGATTAAGCCCAACTTATCATTTTTTTTATAGTTTGTTTTTTTTTGTGTGTCCTACGATACATTTGCTTTATCCAGTAATTCTCACCCAGGGCTGACACCCCCCAATACACACACACACACACACACACGTGGTAATGTCTGGAGCTATTTTTTATTGTCACAACTGGGACAATGCTACTGACATCTAGTGGGTAGAGACCAGGGATGCTGCTAAATATCCTACAATGCACAGAACAGCCCCCCAACAACAATAAATGATCTAGCCCAAACTGTCAACAGTGCCGAAGTTGAGGAATACTGCCTCATTCAATGCGACAAATACTTTTCCTAGAAGTTTTATGGTTTTCACTTTTATATGTAAGTCCTTGATCCATTTTGAGTTAATTTTTGTGTACAATGAGATCAGGTGTGGGTTTTTTAGAATTGAATATCCAACTTTTCTGGCACCATCTGTTGAAGACTAACCTTTTCCTGTTGAAATACCTTGGCCCTTTCGTCAGGTATCAACTGACCATATATGTGAGTGAGTCTATATCAAGATTCTCTAGTGCACTTCATTGATCTAAATATCTAGCCTTGGGGCGTCCAGGTGCCTTAATTGGTTGAGCTTCCGACTCTTGATTTCGGCTCAGGTCATGATCTCTGGGTCGTGAGATCAAGACCCACATTGAGCTCTGCACTCAGTGGGGAGCCTGGGATTCTCTCTCTCCCTCTTCCTCTGTCCCTCCTCTCGCTCACTCTAAACTAAATAAATTAACCTTCTAAATAAAATAGATAGATATCCTTACATTAATACCACATGCTCTGGGTTACATTCAGATGATAAACCACTTCATGTTTGCATAAGAATCTTACAACAATATACTTCCATTACCCTCCTCCCATCCTTTGTACAATTTTTATCACGCCTGTAACTCCCACATATGTTATAAACCCAATAATAATAATCATCATTATATTGCTTTAAACAGTTAAGAATAGATTTAGCAGATTTAAGAGATTAAACTTTTTTTAAAGATTTTTATTTATTTAGGGCGCCTGGGTGGCTCAGTTGGTTAAGCGACTGCCTTCGGCTCAGGTCATGAGCCTGGAGTCCCCGGGATCGAGTCCCGCATCGGGCTCCCTGCTCCGCAGGGAGTCTGCTTCTCCCTCTGACCCTCCTCCCTCTCATGCTCTCTGTCTCTCATTCTCTCTCTCTCAAATAAATAAATAAAATCTTTAAAAAAAAAAAGATTTTATTTATTTGACAGAGAGAGAGCGCGAGAGAAGGAACACAAGCAGGGGGAGTGGGAGAGGGAGAAGCAGGCCTCCCGTGGAGCAGGGAGCCCGATGTGGGACTCGATCCCAGTACCCTGGGATCATGACCTGCGCCGAGGGCAGATGCTTAACGACTGAGCCACCCAGGTACCCCAAACATTCTTTATATTTACCCACACACTTAACACATTTGGAACTCTTTATTTCTTTGTATCAGTTTGTGTGTCCATCTGGCATCCTTTTCCTTCAGCCTTAAATATTTCTTATAGTGCAAGTCTTCTGGCTAGAAATTCTTTCAGCTGTTGTTTGTCTGAGAAACCTTTTTATTCCACCTTCATTTTTGAAAGATGTTTCCCCTGGATATTGAATTCTAGGGTGATTTTTTTTCTCTCTTTCAGTAGCATTTTCTTCTGGTCTGCCTATTTTCTGACAATAAGTCTCCTGTCATTCTTTTTTTTTTTTTTAAAGATTTTATTTATTTATTTGAGAGAGAGAGAGAGAGAAACAGCATGAGAGGGGATAGGGTCAGAGGGAGAAGCAGGCTCCCCGCCGAGCCGGGAGCCCGATGTGGGACTCGATCCCAGGACTCCAGGATCATGACCTGAGCCGAAGGCAGACGCTTAACCATCTGAGCCACCCAGGCGCCCAGTCTCCTGTCATTCTTATCTTGGATTTCTGTACATGTCTTTTTTCCCCGGGCTGCTTTTAGGATTTTCTTTTTAGCACTGTGGTTTCTAGCAAATTGATTATGATGGACCTTGGTATGGTTTTCTTTATGTTTTGTCTACTAGCATGTGTTGAGCTTGGATAAACGTCAGAGTTGCTCTGTATTGATAGGCATGTGGGAGTACCAGGGCCCTGTAGGAGGGGGGTGTGCTGAGGATGGGACCTGCCATTGCCTCTTTTTTTTTTTAAATTTTTTTATTATGTTAATCCCCATACATTACATCATTAGTTTTAGATGAAGTGTTCCATGATTCATTGTTTGCGTATAACACCCAGTGCTCCATGCAGAACGTGCCCTCCTTAATACCCATCACCAGGCTAACCCATCCCCCCACCCCCCTCCCCTCTAGAACCCTCAGTTTGTTTCTCAGAGTCCATTGTCTCTCATGGTTTGTCTCCCCCTCCAATTCCCCCCCTTCATTCTTCCCCTCCTGCTATCTTCTTCTTCTTCTTCCTTTTTTTTTTTTTTTAACATATAATGTATTATTCGTTTCAGAGGCACATTGCCTCTTGGCACCTCCACAGACTCTTAGATTTCCCCGGAACACAGTTTGAGAACCCTTGCTTTTGGGTGTTGTGACTTGCTCTCATAGAGCATTTCCAGATTTGGTAGGAACACTTTGTGTATTTTCACCCAAATCATTAAACATCATTTTCCAGCTAGGACTTTGTACTGGTTGTTTGTAGTGATGCTTTGCAAGAGGATTTGTGTCTCCGCATTATGCATTCATTATATGTAGGAGCCCTGTGACCGTTTCCTTACAGATTGAAAAATGTAAAGTGATGGCCTCCAAGAAAAAGCCCCTGTGGCTTGAGTTTAAATGTGCTGATCCTACAGCCCTATCCAATGAAACGATTGGAATTATCTTTAAACATGGTGACGATCTGCGCCAAGACATGCTGATTTTACAGGTATGCTACCGTTGAGGAATTTTTTGTTCAATTACCTGAAAAAATAATTCCATGTTAGACCGAAAAAAAATGTCTCCTACGGATTCTGTTCCCATTCTCCTACTCCGTCCACACACGGTGATCAAAGATTCCGTAACAGAGAGTTTTCACGGGGGGGAACGTGGCTGTGGACTATGAGATGTGCAATTAGTGAGCATCCCAGTTCTGTCTGTCCATGAGAAGATGCACAGCCAGATAGGTCTCCCTCCCCTAACCCCTCTTGTACACACCCCATTCCTAATAACATAAAATATAGACGTATTTGGCCCCCTGGCATCCACTTTATTTGGATTTATAGACATAGCTGTGCACCCACAGGTGCTCTCCTTAGATACATCACTTTGATATACATCCATATCCACAAACTCAAGTGAAGGATTTGACAGGAAGGAGAGAGAAGATGAACAGGCAGGTGATTTCAGAAATCGTGCAGTTAAGTAGAAAGAGTGAATGGATTACTAGAGCAGAAGGTGGATGGTAATCAATGTTCATCATCTTCCATATTCTCTAACATTTCTGGATCAACTTTAGCTTTGCAAACTGGTGTAGTAAATCTCCATATTCCAGCTCACCACTGTAGAAGTAACATAATTTCTCATCTTTTGTGTGGTTTATTTAAAATAGGCAAGCCTTGGGGCGCCTGGGTGGCTCAGTCGTTAAGCATCTGCCTTCGGCTCAGATCAAGATCCCAGATCCTGGGATCGAGCCCCGCATCAGGCTCCCTGCTCTGCCTGCTTCTCCCTCTCCCACTCCCCCTGCTTGTGTTCCCTCTCTTGCTGTGTCTCTCTCTGTCAAATAAATAAAAATCTTAAAAAAAAATAAAATAGGCAAACCTCATTGATTTAAATGTGGCCTATTTAAAAACTGGTCGTGTTTTCCATTCTTTCCATTTCTGCTTGTACTTATTTCTAATATGGAAACAATAATACCTTTTGCTCTCTTTTCAAGAATCCTATGTTTATTGTCCCAGAAGTATTAAAAAGAAAGAAAGGAAAAGAAATCCTTCAAACCTTTTGAAGGTTTATGGCACTTCCCATAAATCTGTAGACTCCTTTGAATTATCCAAAGACAAGAGCTTCAGAAATGCAAAGCATCACTGTGCATCACTGTGTCCTTCCTCTCACTTTGCAGGGAGGTTTGCACTTGCCTTTTATGTACTTGTTTTGATGCTGAGGCACACTTCTTGGCAGGTGAGGGCAAGTTACAAAAGCTCATGAAGCCTTAGTCTCTCCACCTGCAGAATGGGAATGATAATCCTACTCACAGGATAGGGTAAATGCAAAGGATCGACATAAAACAGACTCAGTAAAGTAGCCAGCATTCTCATCACTGTTAGTGTGGCCTTGGGTTAACCCAAGAGTGCCTTATGGGTTTAAACTCATAAGAACGTCAGAGTGGAACATTTTTTGTTGTGGTGATAAAATACACATAACTGGAGTGGAACCTCTGAACAGCTGAAACGTGATTACCACCTCTCCCCGCACTAAGTCCATTCATCTTCTTCCCCAGAGTACATCTCAGGGACCAAACTTAAGAGGCTCCCAAGGAATGGGAACTTCAGAGCACCCCACTGATAAATAAAGTACAGCTGTTACTTACAGAGTGTACGTTAACGTACATATTTCACGTTTCCAGTTAAGATTGTCGGGTTTTTTAAAGGAGAAGAAAAATACATTAAATATGTATTTCTAATGGAAACATTTTTTTGTGTCCGATGTCTAGATTCTACGAATCATGGAATCCATTTGGGAGACTGAATCTTTGGATCTGTGCCTCCTGCCATATGGTTGCATTTCAACTGGGGACAAAATAGGTATGTGGTCACCTCGGGAGGTGAATGTACTGCTCAGCTCGCTTTAAAGGATCCTAAGCCCTTTAGTGCAAGCATTTAATACCTGGAAAATTACAAACATAATCCATATAAAAAGGAAGGCAGTGTTCCAAGGCTGGTGCATGTGTCTCTGTGGATCTGTTGAAAATATACAAATGTGGGATTCCAATCCTGTGACTATACATGGCAATGATTTTAGTAAGAACTCATTCCCTCCTCTCTACTTCTCCACGTCTAAACTGTAGCTTGTTTCACTGCACATTAAACTTCTGTCTCACAAATAACATTTAAAAATAGATGGTAAGATCTGTCACTTATTTCAATATCTTAGAATTCACATTATTGAAGCGATTATATACTCGACTCTTAGGTGCTTTTATAGACATTTAACATTTTTGTTTCCACCACAGATATTTTTATTTGAGCTTCTGATCTGAGAACTGTATAAAACCACTTCCATTTGACCCTTTGATTAAAAAAAGGAAAAGGCACAGTTTGCCAAGCACCTATGCTCAGCACATACATGCTTTTACTTACTACTTTTTCTTTAATATTTTTATTTATTTGACAGAGAGAGACACAGTGAGAGAGGGAACACAAATGGGGGGCGGGGGGGCGGAGAGAGAGAAGCAGGCTCCCCGTGGAGCAGGGAACCCGATGTGGGGCTCGATCCCAGGACCCTGTGATCATGACCTGAGCTGAAGGCAGACACTTAATGACTGAGCCACCCAGGTGCCCCTACTTACTACCTTTTAAAACCAACCTTTCGGGGCGCCTGGGTGGCTCAGTTGGTTAAGCAACTGCCTTCGGCTCAGGTCATGATCCTGGAGTCCCGGGATCGAGTCCCACGTCAGGCTCCCTGCTCAGCAGGGAGTCTGCTTCTCCCTCTGACCCTCCCCTCCTCCCTCTCATGCTCTCTGTCTCTCATTCTCTCTCTCGCAAATAAATAAAATCTTAAAAAAAAAAAAAACCTTTCATCTTTTCATTCAAGGATACTGAAAGCATGTCCCACCAAACTTCCTCCATCCTCCTCTTCTTTCTCTCCCTCCTAAGAAAACCAACAGCACAAACCTGGACAACAGCCCCCTCCCATCAACAGTGACACAGCCATTCACCCTCTGGGTCAGGCATGAGGCCCCAATTTACATCAGATTCTGTGCCTCCTCCCATAGGCATGATCGAGATCGTGAAAGATGCCACGACAATTGCTAAAATACAGCAAAGCACAGTGGGCAACACGGGCGCATTCAAAGATGAGGTCCTGAATCACTGGCTCAAAGAAAAATGCCCTATTGAAGAAAAGGTGAGCTCCTGCTTTTCCCAGTGCCAAAGGCTCCTTACACGCTCGTCATTTATGTAGCAGTGACAGGTTCACGTTTTCAAAGGATCTATCCGTGTCATGCCTCCTGATGTTGGGTGAAACCTTTTCCTTGTGAGGCCGCGGGGGTTTTAAGTGCCTTCCTGGGGGACACGGCAGATCTGTGTAAAACGCATGCGCTCCGTTCAGAATGCTGTGAGCATTTGTTTCTCCTTTGATGATCAGGCATGCTTGGCATAAAATTTGGCTCTATGAAATAATGTGTTGGTACTTTTTAGGACAGTCCATTTTTGTTGTTCAGTAGAAAAATGTAGTCACCGTGTACCTCCCTACCTGGGAAATGCCACCTATCCTATCAGCAAATTGCTAATTAACTGCCCCCCCCATCTAAACGGTGAATTATGGATGCGGCAAATGTCAGTTCCAGCATCCTTCTGAAGGACATATGCTGCATCCTTCAAGCTGCGTGCTTGGGCTGTTTGGCTGTCGTTTCAAGTTCTGCTGCACAGGATTAGCACTTCTCATTTGCATGGTTAGCAGCCTTTTGGGGAGGAAATATAATTAGCAGCATTTATTAGCCTGCTATACATGTGGATTTGTGAACCTGTGCATACTTGAAGCGGTCACAAGCAAAACATATGTTCACTGATGAAGGAGAAACAATTATGGGTTCTGTGGTGTTGTCGGCAAGCGATGCATGGAGCGGAAATGAACCCTTTGATCAACTGTTGCTCTTTGACTTTTGTTTCCTCCGCCTGCTCTTGTGAGTCACTGACTCTTCACCTAAAACATAAGGAGAACGATGAGAAAGTCGGCACCCAGTAGATAGAACGTGAATGAAATCAGGCACAACCCACCTGCTCTCTGAAAATGGTTCCCAGATGGTGCCTTTTTGGAAGTCGTCTGTACTTGACTTGGGCTGTTCTTTGTAGTTAGAACACCACTGATATTCGGACGCCTTCTAATTAGTTTCAGGCAGCCGTGGAGAGATTTGTTTATTCCTGCGCTGGCTACTGTGTGGCCACCTTTGTTCTTGGAATAGGCGACAGGCACAACGACAATATTATGATCACAGAGACAGGTGAGTTTATTTATTATTGTTTTTTACTGTGGTAAAATATATATAACAAAATGTACCACTTTGGTTTTAAGTGTAGTTAAATGGCTTTAAATGCTCACATTGCCATGCCGCCATCACCACCATCCCCCAGAACTTTCTCACCTTCCCCAACTCAAACACTGTCCCCACTGAACTAGCACTAACCCCCCTTTCCCCTTCCCTCTGCACAGAGTGATATTTACACAGGGTTCAAGGTGGGAGCACACATCTAGAAGTCATTACTGGGCAGGGACATAGACGCTGTGATCACCCGAGAGAGGACCCGGGAGAGAATAATGGAAGAAGATGCCAAAAATGAGACTTCACAAGGAAAAGCCAGAGAGCAGCTAGAAAGTTGGGTAGGGGCGTATGCCAGAAGCTGGTAAAGGCGGGTGTGGTCAGTGGCGTCCGACGCGGCAGAGAAGTGATGACAAGGACTCCCAGATGTCCTTACATCGGAAACGCTCTGCCTTCCTAACCTACCCCTCATCACTAGTTCACTGACCGCCCCGACAGTGGTCAGTACTGGCTACCGTGCCAAGAAAGGTTTCTCTAAGAAATCTGGACCAACTGAGGAGTAGAGCCTGGAAAAAGCACCAGACTGGGATGAATTGCTTACTCTCTGTGAGAGCAAAAGACGCCAAGTATTTATGGACCATACGTGTGATATGGGCTATCTAAACAGGAGATGATGGTAATCATGGTGGTAATAGTGACAGGGGTGGAAATGGAGTCAAAGGGGATTCAAAAGGTTTATTTCTATGGCGCCACTCAAAAGTAAAATGTGAGTGCCCTTCCCCCAAGCAGCGCCAACCATCCGTGTATCCTGAGTCACATAAAGGGCGTAAGAGAGTCCCGGGCATAATGATGACAGATTAGCCAGAGCGTCTGGACTTAACAGTTCTAAGAATAATTCTGAGACGAGTCGAGAATTTTCTTTTAATGGCATTTGGCTGTCATTTAAAGAACACCAGAAGGATATCAAAAACACACTTGGTTCAAAGAGCGCTTTGTGGTTCCACTACACACACCTGCTAAGCTGAAAAATATCACAAGCTGATAAAACAGGGTAAAAATAGCTCTCGCACCCAAGATAGCTCATTTTCAGGCATCTTAAAAAAAATATTTCAGGAAATAAACAAACCAAAGTGTTGTTACAAGTGATTGGGCCACTATAATGATGTCAGGCATTTTCTCCTCCGAAGGAAACCTGTTTCATATTGACTTTGGACACATTCTTGGGAATTACAAAAGTTTCCTGGGCATTAATAAAGAGAGAGTGCCGTTTGTGCTAACCCCAGACTTCCTGTTTGTGATGGGAACTTCTGGAAAGAAGACAAGCCTGTACTTCCAGAAATTTCAGGTAATTGGCCTCCTGCTTCCTGGCCTCCGGGAACACCAACCAGAGGGTGCCTGCCGGGCACAGGAGCCCCCCCACCTCCGGCTCCACTGAGGCTTTGCTGCCCACCCTCCCTGGCAGACACCCTCAGTCCTCCCTGTTTCCTCCGTTCCAGCCCCAACTCCTCTGTCACCTCCCACCTCAAACCAAATGGCAAGCGAAATGAAAGCATTCCGTAATCAGTGGGACAGGCAGATACAGGACACTGGGATGGTCCCTGTACTGAAGAGGGACCTGACCGAGGAGTGCCTCCAAATACTTCTTTCTCTAGTCAAGCCAGGGCCTAGAACAACCAAATTTTACCTGTTCCTTTCAGGACGCTCAGACAGGTGGGAGCTTCTCTTGGTGTTTGCTACAGGTGTGTCCTTATCAAATTACCGGCAGAGGGCATGGTGGCAGCACCAGTGGACTCTTGTCTCCCGTGTGTGAAGGACAGTCCCTGCTCTCATTTGAAATCCTGTCAACATGTCTGCAGGTGGTAAAACCAGCTCTGACACGACCTGCTTACCAGCCCACGAGCTCTGACATGGGCAGCCCATCTCCCCGGGGGGCTCACGTCCTCCTTTCTTTTTCATTCCTTCCTGGTCTCCATCCACTTTTGACTACCAAATATTTCAAACACCCGAGGAGTAAAATTTTCACACTTGCAAATTTAATAACTGTGAATGAATAGAACTGAAAATTACTACCTAATTGCCACATACAATACCTACATGGTACCCCTACAAACACGAAACAGATCAGTGGAGGCGAAGAGTGAGCACTTGATCTGCGCCTGCGCCTTGGGTCCCCATTAAGGACTCCCCCCACCCTGTCCCCCAGCCTTAGGGCCTCTTCAGCACACTTTGGTTTGCAATTAGCGTTTCAGAAACAAATCTTTTTTCCGGAGTCTCTTCTTGAGTCGCCCGTGATCCTTGGGAGGTGGCCCGGGCCCTGCAATTCAGTGCAACAGGAACTGGGAGATGTGTATCGTTTTGAAAGCTGTCTGTTCTTGTTCGTTCTCCTGGCTGATTTCGATTTGATTACAGGACTTAATCCTCCCACGGTTCCGGGAGTGTTATCAGAGAAACTGAGATCTCTGGGGCCAGATGGTCTTAGGATTTTTGGTGTGTGTGTGTGTGTGTGTGTTTCTGTGTAAACTCAACTGGGTTTCAGACTACTTCCAGGGATTTGACACATTTCAGTCCTGTTTTTCTTTAAAGTTAAAAATCACATATTTTGACAACTTCCTGGAAGAGAAAAATGGTTCAAAAAAAAAAAACCTGAAGAACTTCACCATTTAAAGAAGAGGGGGACCCTCAGTTCTCTCCCAGAGGAGGGGGTTCATCCGCATAGCCTCATGCATAGCAGCAGTCGTGCCATTGGGAGTCGGGCATGCAGGAGTCCGTCCTCACCGACAGGCTTTCCTGCTGTCTCTGTGTGTGTTCTCTTTCTCTCGCTCAGTGGTTTTCCTCAGAATGACTGCCCATCTCTCCTGTTCCTGTAGACCCCCACAGGGCCCATGCCACCCCTAAAATCCCAGCAGTATTTCCCCCTTTACTCTTTTTTGTTGTTAAGCTTCAAAATATTCTTTAATGAAGATTTGGACGTGGGAGGCCACGTCCCTGTCCCAGGCAGCTTCGACCCAAAGCAACGACCCTCTGCAGGGAGCCTTTGCACTATTCTCTCCGTCTGGGACCATTGCTCTGTCCTTTGTGACCAAAGCTTCTTTCCCAAACCGCTGAGACCTCCCTCACCAAAGTGACCTCTAGGCAGTGTGCACTGCTAAAAACACACCTTCGTGAATTTTACTGTACTTACGTGTCTGGGTTCTAGAGTACAGGCCTGCAGTTTCAGTATCTGTGAATATATGGACTTTGAGCCTTAAGCCCAGATCCAGAACAGCACTGTGGCTGAAGGATGGGCTTTGGAGCAGGCAAATAGCTTGATCCTGGCTCGCTACTCAATATCTCTGCATGTGATACAAAGTACTCATCTGTTCAGACCCTTGGATCCCTCTTCTGTAAAAAATGGCAACAGGAAGACCTCCTTCATGTGGTATTTTTCAGGATTATCTGAACAGAATAGGTAGGATGCTCATCCCAGTGCCTAGAGCACAGCCGAAATCCAATACCCAACGGCCTCCGTTGTCACGTATATGGCAATGGGTCTTCGAACTTTGAAAACTTTTAAGTTGAGAAGCCCTCTTAGAAATGAGAGCACAGGGCGCCTGGGTGGCTCAGATGGTTGAGCGTCTGCCTTCGGCTCAGGTCATGATCTCAGGGTCCTGGGATCGAGTCCCGCATCAGGCTTCCTGCTCCTTGGGAGCCTGCTTCTCCCTCTGCCTCTCTCTCTCTCTCTCTGTCTCTCATGAATAAATAAATAAAATCATCAAAAAAAAAAAAATGAGAGCACAACAGGGCGCCTGGGTGGCTCAGTCGTTAAGCGTCTGCCTTCGGCTCAGGTCATGATCCCAGGGTCCTGGAATCGAGACCCACGGGCTCCCTGCTCAGCGGGAAACCTACTTCTCCCTCTCCCACTCCCCCTGCTTGTGTTCCCTCTCTCGCTGTGTCTCTCTCTGTCAAATAAATAAATAAAATCTTTAAAAAAAAAAAAAATGAGAGCACAACAGCAATATACAAGCAATATACAAAACACAAAAAAGTAGAGGTGTTCTGGTGAAAGAGCAAGGGGAAGGGGTCCAAGCTCTGCTTGCCCCGCCATCCTGCCCCCTTGTCTGCCCCCCCCGCCCCGATACTATCCCCACGCTCCTCACTCACAACAGGAAAAAAGCTGACCACATACCCATGTGTGTATACAATTATACATATACAGGCTTTCTAAAGTTTCAGCCTGACAAAGATGAGTAGCAGGTTTTTCATCATTTGACTCAGACCTTGTGACAATTTTTTTTTTAACATACTACCAAGCCTTCCAGAAGTTTTCCTGTTTCTTAGTTTTATGTTCCTTTTTTGAGATGAAAAGTCCTTCAAGCTCTGGGAGTATGTTTCTAAACTCTCTAAATAGCACCACAGGATCTTGTATAATAAAGCTGCCATTTTTAAGTAGGCTGGGAAATGTTGTATATATTTACATTTTGAATCAAAGGTGTCCTCATTTCCAGCAGACCGCTAATTTGGAATGATAAGGTTAATTAATGCACGCAGCACATTTGAATAACCTGTTAGGGAGGGTGAAGAAAAGCTGACCCACTTTTCATTAAGGGTGAGGTGAGCCTTCTCCACAAAGACATGAAAACATACCTAACTCCTGGCCAAAGGCTCAAAGGCCGGAAACTGAAAGAGGAAGGCACTGCTTTATCTCCCCTCTTCCTTTTTCCCAAAATACTTGTTAAGCCCAGGACCATCTTAATAAATTATTTCCAAATGGGGTCGACTTTAGGAGCAAGCTGTAATCAGACAAAAAGGCACAAAACCAAGGCATGCTTACTATTTGAAACCAAGAACATCCGTTAGCCTTCAGAGCAGCATCCTGGACACCAGGTGCTAAACAGAAACATGTCAATGATGATGATTTTTATAAATAAAGTCTCCTTTGAAAAATCTCTCCCTTACCAAAAGAGTGAAAAGACAAAACCATATTTTACCCACTGACAATTGATTTTAGAACCACTGTGCTTTAAATTTCACTAAATGGTTTTAGAACCTCTATGACATACAAACACATATCATTAGCAAAGGAAATTTGGCTCCCCCTTTTTTTAATCTAAGAACGTGGGGCTTTTTCCTAATTTTAAAAGCAGTAAATGTGTTTTAAGTCAGTAAAATATTAAAAATATCAGGAAGATACTAAAAACCCACCTTCCAAAAATAATACTGTTAACATTTGAGTGTTTTTCCTTCATTCTATTATTTGGCCTTTGAGAAGGTTGTAAATTAATCAGGATTTGGTTAAAAACTGAACTGAAGCAATAGATACAGTGTTACCCCCTATAAACTGTTCAGTGGCTTCTCACCTCACTTTGAAGCAAACTCGAGTATCTAAGCTTGCCCTACAAGGCTCCACTCAGGGGGCCCCTGCCCTCTCCAGCCGGACCCCATGGCACTCTCCCCACACTCTCTCACTCGGTCAAGGCCATGGTGGCCTTCTTCCTGGAACACCCTTCAGGTCTCCGCTTCCATGTCATTCCTCCGAGCAGTCTCCTACGTGGGGGCCCTGGCGTTATCCTTTGCTCCCCCTGCACCTGGGACAGCATATCACTGTCCGTGCAAGTCTGTGGCAGTTGCGCCACTTCTGACCTGAATCCCTCCTGTGGGGCCTGAGGCATAGTGAGCGCTCAGTAGGTCGTGGAGGAGAGAGGGCAGAGAGGAGGGGAGAGGGTGGAGGGGCAGTTCCTGCCTGTCCTTGGCACACAGTAGGCACTGAGCAAATGTATGTTGCATAAAGCGAAAGAAACCAGGGAAGCCAAATAACACCTTCCCGGGCACATCTATGCAAAACAGGTGGCTCGATGAGCACACTTAAAAGGCATTTGCCCCAGATGTCACTCTTTTTTTTTTTTAAGATTTTATTTATGTATTTGACAAGAGAGAGAGACACAGTGAGAGGGGGAACACAAGCAGGGGGAGTGGGAGAGGGAGAAGCAGGCTTCCTGACGAGCAGGGAGCCCGATGCGGGGCTCGATCCCAGGACCCCGGGATCACGACCTGAGCCAAAGGCAGACGCTTAATGACTGAGCCACCCAGGCGCCCCTAGATGTCACTCTTAAGCGTTTTATAGGAGAGAGTTCTGGCACCCATTCGTTGTGCTACTTTAACCTCAGGGGCCAGCTTTACCAGCCCCACCTGGGGTCCACCACTGGCAGTGCGGGCCCCATGCCGGGGAGGCTCAGCCCCGCGCCCGCTCTCCGAGCGGAGTCCTAACTTGGGTTGTTAAGAACCGTCTCCGCTGTCATCTTGCTCTCATCTTGGATCCCAGGTTCTTTCAACTATTTCTGCCTCAGTTTCTCCAGCAGGGCCCTGCTT